GGCAGGTATCTTCAAAACGCAATGGCGGAGCTATGAACAAAATTTTCAACAGGAATCATCGAAGCTATAATACAATTAATTGAATTGAATTTCAAAAAAATTTTGAGATCAAAAAATGTTTTGAGATCAATCAGATAGACAGGCGAATATCGTACAACCTGATTTAATTCTGATCAAGAATAAGTATGCAACCTGTGGAGCCTCCGACAAATACCACAATTTTAGGGGGTATGATACAAGAAATTCCATTGTGGTGCTATTATTAATTTCACAACTGTATATAGAAGTGTATATACAGTGGCGCACATAGATTATAAATAGTACAAAAATATTTTCTCATATTTGTATGAACTAAAGAAACTAGTCCTCGTCGCCGTCTCAATCATATAATTAAATTGAATCGTAAAATTAGTTGCACCACTTAATCTGTTGTTCCACTGTGCGTTACCACGAAGACAAGAGCATGCTATAACAGGGTGGTATTGAGAAAAAAACGCAGAAGCAAAAAAGTGAAGTTCGACTAGGGGAAAACTTAACTGGGCCATCCTCAAAATCTCGAAAATATTGAATAGATTTTGGAAGGAATTAATCTATACATATAATAAATGTGGCCAGATTTGGGATACGTTCAATACCAAACTTTATAGGTATAAAAATGCCTGTTCAAAACTCCAACTTAAATAGTGATTTCAACAGACGGACATGGCTAAGTCGACATAGATCTTTACGCATATAATGAATATATTGGAAGCTACGCCTCACTCTTGCCAAATGTTCGTAGAATACATTCCCACTTTTTAGTTTTGATCACAAATTTCATTTCATTCAGCCATTCTAAGATTTTGCTGGAAATTTAATAACATCAGTGAATAAAACTATTTTAGAAGTAATAAACGAATGTAATGACGGAATAGAACATACGTTTTTTAACGTATTTCTGTTCTCAAACATTTTTATGGAACATCACTTACCCTAGATGAAAACATGAGTTTTTTGTTTTTTTTTTTTTTTTTGAAATACAGACCCGTTCTTTGTGGAGAAATAGTGACTGTGGCCACATTGTCAAATGCGTTTTTCATTTCGCACACGGGTAAGCAAATCACTTTGGGATATTTGCGGGGATTGCAAAAAGTTATGCCCCTCATAAAAACATGAATGCATGTGCAATGACTTTTTTATACTGCATACCGGCACACTCTGACATACAGCCGAACAAGGGCGGATAAATACGCAAATTTGCATATACTTTTTTTTTTTTTTCATTTTTATTTCATGGCAATGAGAGCTATTTTGACAGATTTTTAATTATAATTTTATGCTAATTTGTAAATTTTGAATATAGCTTTGAAGTCACTTGCTAGCGCGTCTCTGATGCAATTGCATCTCCATACCGTTAAGCGACTAAAATCCATTCAGAAATAAGTCTGCCATGGTTCAGCGCTTTTTGGCTATCGGATTTCAAATCATTGTCGTCAGTGATTGTGCAGAAGAATACGACGCTAAGGTTTCGTCAGTAGAATGGGATGTCCCAACGTAACTGTATAGATATGAGAAAAAAAACGGACATATCATTTACACAGCACAAGGTGCTCGACATGGCACATTGTAGAAACACAAAGCGTATCATGGTTGTTTGTTGGCACTACTCTATGGTCAAACAAATATAAATTATTGGAACATACATAAGATCGGCATAAGATCGGTCGGAGGAACATAAACCTTTGAAAATATGTCAAGTCAAAAGTACAAACAATTCCGAAAAAATTCCGGATCCAAATTCTGATTCTATTTTGAAATAGCGTTTGTCTCTCTTTAGATATTTCGAAATGAAACCAAAAAATTCAAACATACTTCGAAGAGTAAAAAGATGGCAAAGATTTCCCTTCTTCTTCAAGTGTGAAAATTCGAAAAATGGAAAGATAGGATTATACCATTGCCGAAGCATAAGCTGCTGTGCTAAGTGTAAATTAAACGTTGAAGCAAGTTCCATTGAAAAAGCTAATCAAACTGAAAGTATTTTATTCAGACTTATCACTTGACCACGAACTCCCATATAATCTGCATTTTCTCACGTAGGCGTCAGATACGGTGGTAACCAAATATAAGAAATGAAAAGTTAATATTTTGAACTCTTACAAAAAATGCGTGTGCGAACAACAAATCACTTTCGACAAAGTGCAACTTCTATTCTCTAAACTTATCAGAATGTTTAATTTAAGCATAGCTTTGGAAACTTTATAGAAGCAATTGAAATAAGAATGTGTCCTTGAGGTATAAATAGTTTCCGTACCATGTCGGTACTAGGCTATAGTAATAGTCGATTAACATATAAAGCTGAACCTGAACATTCCAATAAGTGAGGCAAATGCACGCCTTCCAAATTGCTCCATTTGATTCGAGAACCAACATTCGTGGTTATATGGGGGCTCTTGTTCAACTGATATGCAATTTTTACCAGATAATGTTATTGGACAGAGTATTGAGGAATTGGTGAGGATTCCGATGCAGCACCCTATTGTTTAATTCGTTTAGTTAGTTTCATTCAATAATAGGAACGCCTTCAGTGCCAAAATCTAAAATCCATGTTGTGTTCAATGACCTGCATTATAGTAGTATTTTGTTGGAGTTTTACAATTGTTTTTAAGTGTTAATTGTTTAAGTGCGGATTTAGTACGTTTTACATGAAATGCTTGCATGGTTCCCAGCTTCCATTTATCCTATATGTTGTTGTTTTTGGTAGTATTTTGTTCCCGTACTTTGTGGGAGAGGCAGATCTTTCAAAGTGATCGTTTCAGGGACAAAGTGGTGAGAGTCTCCTAGCCAAATATTGACAGTTTTGTTTAAATGAAGTTGTTATTTACTCGTAATGATGTAAAGCGATTCAAAATTTGCGATAAATAACGACCTTTCAATGTCACATATGAACGAAGTACTTCCTCGGCTGGACTTCACAAATATCACATTTAATTTCATTAAACAAATATTTTCGAAATCAATGATTTGAAAAAATTGCATTGCCATTTAAGTGAATCATTAAACCGTGGGATCCAATTTTGGAAAGAACAAACAAAAAATTAAATAAATAAATGAAAACTACATGTGGCGTCTAATTTTGAATATTTCCGACAGAAATTATTTTTTACAGTGGATATACCTACATATGATCTATACCAAGAGATTCCTTATCTGAAATATTTTTTTAAATAAAACTATATTCAATTAATCATTGCAGGTTTTATCTTGTCAATACATCAATTTGACAACTGATCGGAATCTTTTTTAAGGGCAAATAAACTGACGGACCTGCATATCAACGCATAAATTGATTTGAATAGGATTGTCGATAGATCTGTTGGTCTTAGATGGAAAAAATATACTTCGTTCAAGAATTGGGGTTTCCGAATCAACTTTCGAATGATATCTGCGCTATCACGGAAATGTGAAATGGGGCTACGTTTTTTGTTTAAATTACGAATATCTTAATGACTTTACAATGACATAACACATGGATCTGCTTCCGATAAAATCGAATGGTTTCCTATTGTTTAAGGATAATTTTCGTTAGTACATCAAATGCGACAGACCACAATTTATCAGACAGTGTTCAATATTTGACTTCCCACAGATTTTCAGTGAGCAACATTTCCGTAAATACCGTAAAGAGGTATAAAAAGAGGCTTTGATGTCAGTTAGAAAAAAAAAGGCAAACACCAATAATGTGGTTACCCATCCAAATTCACCTATAGTTGTGGTTTGGAATTCTCCAAGTGGCAATAAAAGTTGCAATGCCTGTAACGTCAAGCCCCCCTCCATTGGGTCCTCAGTGAGGGAATTGCCTTATTTTGGAGCGCTATTAAAGTTGTTGTTACAAACACAGCAGTACAACCGGAATGCAAATGTTCGAACATACGGACACACCATGCATTGCAACTGCAACGAGCCGAATTCACTCTCTGCAGATATGCCCGTACAACATTTCTGAAAAATCAAACCTTTTGTGGATACATACACACGGCCGGTGTATTCCATCTGAACACAGGTGTATATGTACATCGATAACACGACGAAATGAGATTAAAGGCGAGCGTCGATGTGAGCTGTTCTCCCAGAAAAAGAGAACACTCAATGGTGTTACTTGGATACTCACCGATGTAATGTCGATGCCAGACTTTTTCTGTTTGACGTCAACGGCAAATAGTTACCAAACACTGCAAATCTGTGCAAAATAACTATTTGGCCAATTAACATTTAGTAAAAAAAAGTTTTTGAGACGAAAACATTTATAAACAGAAATTACATTTTCCAATAAATAGAAATTGCATAAATAGAAATTGCGAAATTGCGTGGGGTCATAAAACTGTCCCTTGAAATATAGTTCATACTTCGATACCCATAATATGGTTTAATTTGCAACGAATTGAATCATACACCTGTGGTGTTCTATTTAAAACCTTCATTTACTCAGAATGGAGGAAATGGATTCCAATTAGATCGAATTTTTGATGGATCTGTCTGTATTTCAATTCAATTTTATTTATATATTATTTATTTCTATATAGTTATTGGCTACATGCAACTAAAACGTATTACATTGCTGAAAATATTCTAGTAGACTAGAGATTTTAAAAATCGTAAAAAGTGTGTGAAAAAGCTTTTAAAGAAATTTCACTTCAAATGGAAGAGTTACCTCTAAAATCAAATTTCTTTAAAAGGCCACTTTCAGTTTTTTTTGGATATTTGGCATTTCAAATTCCGACCGATCCTCAAGGAAACCTTTTCAAAGAAACAATCTCTTACAATTTTACATCTGGCATCGCTGGCTGACTATGCCAGTTAAATTTACTCTCAACTCGGTTACGGTGTGGAGTTGCTTTGGCTTGGAGTTGTTGTTTTGCTCGCTCGTTGGCAAACGTTCAAACGTGGCAATCGTTAGATCCAACAGCCAGTCGTCTCGTCAATGCAGACAACAGCTCCCCATTGATCATGCTGACCATGGGGTATGCTAGCCAGTCGTTGTTTGGATGTGACACTGAACGCAACGTATCTGTTGTTCATTGCCGTGTGAGGGCTTAGTTTCGAGCGAATCGTGTTGTTCTACGTTTGTGATTTTTTGTGTTTGCGCTTAATTGGCGGTTCCCAAACAGAGGAGCAAGTGTGACTCTCAGCGCGTGTGACTGTATGTGTGTGTGTGTGTGCAAACGTTCGTATCTGTGTGCGCTGTTGTGTTCTGTATGTGAAAAACAAAAAAAAAAAAAAAAAAAAACATTTAATAGCACACAAAACCGGGAGCCCACAACTGTTTTTTAGCATTCCAAAGCACTTGCGCAGCATCTTGAGATATTTTGTGTCTTTACAAGAAGAGAAGAGAAAAAACATCAAATTTTCATTCTTCCCATTAATCAACGGGAACGGAAGGAGAAGGTGGAAAGACCAGTTCTTAATCTGTTTGTGCTTCTTTCGAATCTACTCCGCGCAGCAGTTGCATGCTGGAACGGCAACCGGGGATACCACCGCAGCGATTGATGATAGTCCACATTCATAGTTGATGCAAACGCAATCGGCTCGCTATTGATGCTGTCTAGTGGCTGACTTGGAGTGTCTATTGCAAGCCATTGTCGGCCGTAGTCGGTGTAGTTCTCTCGTTTTTCAAGGCAAATCCAGTGCATTGACTCCAAGAAAATTGTTAAATTCAGGTTCTGCAGCCAGAGAGAGGTAGAGTTGTTGGTTGCTGGTCGCAGCTGCCGTTGCAACCTGGTTGCATTGTAGTACAGGTCGTCTATTGCTCGCGCTTGATTTCGTTCGTGTTTGCAAAACTTTTCACGCACACACACGTAGAGTGCCAAAAAGCAAACCCGTAGAAAATAGTGCAGAAAATTCTTGGCCGCTGCCTAAAAAACTATTTATTATTGTTGTTGTTGTGTCGATGAAAGCAAATGCCTTGTCCACACCAACTGGATTCGAAGCAAAGTGGAATTTAGGCTATAATGCAATTTTGGCCAGTGTGAATTTTTTCGAATTATCTTCTGTACGTGAAACCCAGATTGAAGAAGCATGAGTGGTGACTTGAGCAACAAAGACTCGAACGGATCGCGCAATGCAAAGCCTAATAAGCCATTCTGTTCGCTGGCTTACTTGGCGAAGAGCACGATTGCCGTTCATGGCACAAATGACATCATTGGACGCAGCACTGCAAATGGACATTCACATAAGAACAGCGCCAATGGTGGCGATCGCAGACAGAGCCAGTCGGCGTCCAGCACCAGCACACCCAATGTGGCGGTTACAGCGAAAGTGAACGATCGCGCTTCTCCTTCGCTGCCCACCGGCACCAACACCGACCACCAGCAACCTCACAATGCAAATTTACAGTCCCCAACCTGCCCAAACAATGTCAGCCAGGATGATGGTGTTGCGGATGTCTTTGGAGTCATTAACGAGGAAGACCGGACGCCAATTAGTTGCGATCAAGACGATAATGTGTTACGTCGACCTTGGGAGCTACCGAATGGCCAGGCCAGTGTTCATCATGCGCCGTCCATCCAGCCAAACGTCAGCCACCATTACTTTGGCAGCGCTTGCTTGCCGTCACTTTCCAAATTCAGCAGCATAGATTGTTGGGATTACACGATCGAGCTGGAATGTCTGAAAGGTCCACAAGGTAATTTCTAATTCCCCATTCGCATTTAAACATTCCGAACATGTGTCGTCGGTCACACATTGGTGTTGCCGAAAACTTTCACGTTCCAACTCATTTTTATTTTTCTCAAATTCGATTTGTTACCACGACCATGTCTTGCCGTCGATGGATCGGTTGGGCAGTCATAAACAACTTCCTTCACTAAGAAGCCATAAACCCGTGCCCATTATTGCCAAAGCCATACGGCTGAAAGCTCTTGCTAATGACTTGCCAAATTGGGAGAACGAAGTATGTGAGATGCTTAAGTAGTTAAGTTGTTGGTGGTCGATTTTAGACGACTGCCTAACTCGTAACTTCCTGTGAGCACTGAATATGTTCTGCGTGTTGGGCCACGTTTAGACTGTGAGTCTAAGCGTTTGCGTCATTCGTTGCTGGCATAATTGCTGCAAGTTAGCAGAGTTCGTTTACCTAGCTCGGTTGAATTTCTTCGATTTTCGTTTACATTTTCTTGTTGTTGATATTTTTGTTTTTGTGTTCTTGTTTTTTTGTATAACCAATATTAGATCTTTGACCCAGTTACGGTGACATGCCACGATCGTTGGCAGTGTGAGTGTCTACTGTTAGTCTGCCAGCATTGCAGGGTAAAGCGTTTCAATTAGAAATGGTTATTGTCTTCCCACTCGCAGCGAAGATTGTCGCACTGTAAAGTTTTATCTTTTTTATTTTTGTTTGAGCGCTCTTATCATTGCCTCCAATCAAGTGTAACGAGTTGAAGAGACAAGCACTAGATATGAGTAACAACATCTAACATTCACAATTAGACATGTAGCAAATGTAATAATAATTTCAATTTCAACTCAAATTTATGTGTTCTGAAATCGGACACAAGCTAGGGGCTGGGCCAAGAGTAAAGTTCATTGTAAAACGATCTACTTCGTATTATCACTTCAGGTTTTATCATTGACGCTAAACTCACAAAAAGAAAAACATAAACATGCTCTGTTCGTGATGTTCTGTACTGTAATGGCAATTCAGATCACAACCTGGACCTGTTAAACATTGAAATTGAAATCCAACCAACCAGAGCTGACAACAGACATGAGCATAATTGTAAATGTTAGTTAAATAATCAAAATTGCACTTGTCTTCTTGTTTCACGAATTATTTCATCTTTTTCAAATGTCAGTAGGGGTTAAAATTGTTAACAAGTCTATAGATTGAAATAAATGAACAACAAATGTTTAAACATTATTTTCTGTTCAGGATTTTGCTAAGGGAAATTGTCATCAACTTCGTTGATGGTAAATGCTTATGTCTGATTTAAGCCGATCAATGGACGAAAAACCAAACCTGGTTTCACGTGCAGAATATTGCCCACTCCAATGACCTATGGGAACATCTGCATCAGCGTATGGAGTAGATTTGATTTGTTATACAATTCGTATTGAGGGGGAACGTTTTACATTTTTTTCCATGGACAACTAGTTTGACTTATATTAGGAGTCTAGTATATTTTTCGCAAGGAGGTAAGAAAAGATATATGACAATATTTCAATTCCTCTTTAGGTAATATTGCACAAAACCGGTTCTACGCTGTTTTGCTGAATTTATCAATGACAATAAATATAGACAAATTCAATAATTAACGGCTTAAGTGTTTAAAAATACAAACACATCGATACCATATTTAATAAACAGGAATTTATACCTCAGTGCTCGGACAGGTTTTTAGCTTAGGGAACTAGTGATAAGCAACAACACAGCCAGCACACAGTGGTCAGCAGTGGGTATAGGAAGGTTCGCAAAATAATCCGAATTGTACAGATCGATTCTCACATTTCCGCAGTCGAACAATATATTTTTTGGAAATATATTTTTATATGCTAAATGCTAAAATGTGCATATTTCCATCGTAAAGTGTCGGTCAAAGTGTATAGCCTGACAAAAAAAAAAAAAAAAAAAAAAAAAAAAAAAAAAAAAAAAAAAAAAAAAAAAAAAAAACAATCATGATTGATTAGGGAAGTAGTTTAATGATATGTTTATAGTATTTTATATAATTACACAATATTAGGTGTGTCTGGTTACCCTAAAATTTGTAACAATTGTTACAAATTGTTACTGGAAGTCGTCTGTTAACCCAAAAGTTCTGCAAAAGACAGCGGTTGGAGAGAGAAATTTTGACAGTTGTTTCAGTGAGAGTTTGCAAATTCTTGCTGAAAAAAATTCTTCTTGCAATCACTTGCAACTCTTCTTCTTCTTTTTCAGATGTTTTCTAATGTTTGTTCATTTATTTTTGTGATTTCAATTTGAAAATATCTTTTTGGAATTGGCAAGACTAATTGCTTTTGGAGAACAATTTTACAAAATGTGAAGAACGCATGTAATAAGAAAATAATAGACTATTTCCAACATTTTTATACAAACGCCATTAGCAACACGTTTAATGGATTCCAGGGAACACATCAAACCTATCTCTCTTTTATTGCTTATATTTTTATTTTATTGCTATTTTCCTTTTTATTTATAAAACTTGTGAAATTGGTGATCTTCTTTTCTTTTAATTCTTTTAATGTGGGACATATTTGTTTGTTTTGGCAAATCAGCTGATTAGTTGCAAGCTTCTGCAGGAATACCGTCTGTTTACTTTTCGCATTTTCCTTGCAAAAGAGAATAAAACTACCTTACTCTCTCAGAAAGATGTTGCTGGATAATTCCTGCAGGAAAAGTAACCAGACACACCTATTATTTTAAACTGTAAATGAAATTTTAATCTTGGCAAAAAAAGAAACGTTTGAAGAATCACACAAAGCCCAAAACCACAAAAGAATATTTTAAAAAAGCAGTTATACTGAATACAGTTAGAAATTTTTATGTATTTTTAGGCGAGAGCATTCAAAACTAGCATGTCACTATAAAAAATGCGCGCGCAATTCATTCTAGAACATAACAAGTGAATGTTTTTTGGGGAATGTAGCGACGACAATAATTGGAACCACTGTGCATTGTGCGAGCGTTTTTTTTATGGATTCATTCCGAGTGCCACGCCTTTCTATTTTGAAACGTTTAAAGCCAAAATTAAAATGCTGTGCTCAGCAACCAGCTATTTACTTAAGCTCTTCTAGCCCCAGCCGGCTATGGATGGCCACGATGTGTCATTTTGAATAAAACAAAACAATTCGCTTGACTTCATTTCTGGCAGCAGGGTTTAATATTTTTTATTCTCAACACGTTTGGCCAAACAATATTTTAATTCCGCATTATGTGAGTCATGATTATGAATTGGTGTCATGCCAACGGAATCGATCACTTCAATGGAACGGCCAACCGCAATTTTGTCTTTTGATTTTAGGATGTGGCAGAGAGTGAGCACTCCATTTAGATGTTTAAATTACAGACTTCGTTTTGAACGAACGAAAAGGGCCGAGACTTAATTAGGTGTTGTTTTCTTTCGAAATCACTGAATGCCCGAAAACATAAACACCTGAGATAAGAAAGTGCCGTGAAAAGTGCTAATAATAGGCAATGAAGGTCGCAATCATAGAAACACAGTTAGAAACACTTTCTCTGATTTTATTCCGAACCACTACCATAAAGATAAGCCTAGGTTCTATAGATTTTACCCACAACTTCGTGTCGAACGTCCGGCAGTCCGATGGATGATTGATTAATTTCTACGATTAGCTGTTATTAAAATGTTATGTCGGAGGGAATTTGCTGTTTTATTAGCCCCCAGTAGACCAATAATAAGAAGCAAATGACTTTTGATTAGATTGAAGTGGACACTAACACAGCTGAGTTGTGTTAATAGCAGACATAGCGAAGGTATCAGTGAGTGAAAGTGGAATAGCTGCACAAAAATTATTTTCTGTTAAATACTGAAGAAGGACCATGTAAACTTGTCAATTCTGCATCGTGCCAACTCCTCGTGATAGGTCAGCTAAGAGATATATTAAAAAACATCATAACATCATTTTGGCAGAAACATCGATATGACGATATGAGTCTATAAATTTGTTCGAAATTCGTCCTGTTTTTGGCACACTAGCACACTTTTGGCACACCCCAGCTGAAAACGACTTTCGATGTCAAATCTTTCTTAGTTCACCAATTTTAAACATTTTCCTACAACGATTAGTAAGAAATAGGAACATGATAGAGTTTCTATAGTTCAGCTTTGAAGATGAAGATGGTCCTGATGTTTTTAGTTCTTTTTCATTAATTTCGTTCGTTAATGTTGTTGTGCCCTCCACCATTCATGCAGGGTATATTAAGTTTGTCATTCCGTTTGTAACTCATCGAAATAATAATTTTACACCAAACCGATTCAGCCGTCTGTCACGCTAAACGACATGTCAAATGAATAGTTTACATTTCGATACTTAGAGTTCATAATGGGTTCTCCTTATTGTTTCAGAACATTGAGTATATAGGTCCACGTTTTTCTATGGCCCCCATATAATTGTAACATCCCATATTCGGCGTTTTGATGAGTTTAGCCTCAATTTCTAACGTAATGGTTTAAAAATCGATATAATCTGTACATAATAGGTTCTGTCTATGCCCCATGGCAGAATATGGTTCATACACGTCCACGTCCACGTTTTCGTATAGCCTATAGCTCCATTAAACGGATCCAACAGATATACCATGTTCTTACGATTTCAGCTATATTTTCAAACGATGTGTTTCAAATTTAGTTTTCAGAAATCATGCAGGACATTCGGTATTTCATCATATTCTGTAGCAATTACTTAAAATTGGGTATTTGTATATTCTAATGCATAGTGTATTAGAACTATTCCTATATAGGTCAACGTATGCCTATGGTCGATATTCGGTATTTTGATTGTATGCTCCTAATGACCCCTCAAAATACCAGAATTTTGATATTTAAATACATATTTTACATGAGTTACTTTCCAAACGATGGAAGTTATTAAAATTCGGCCTTTTTTTTTCTCTCTCTCTCTCTCTCTCTCTCTTTTTGGGGTAAAACACTTTTTGCCGAGTAACTTTAACAA